AGTCCCGTTTCAGTTTGAGAGAATCATTGGAACACCTATTACTTATGTACACTGACGATTAACTTAGGTAATAGGTGGTTCAGTTCGGTTTGTGCAACCGTTAATGTTGCACTTTCGTGCGGCGGTTCTGATTGCTGTCCTTCAGCTGACCACCTCCATGGAGTAGAAGGAAAAAATGAAAAGCCGGGTGAAGTACCGAAGCGAAGATACAGATACAAGTACACCACGATTACGAAGAAACTGAGTAGATGCACGAGCGCCGCTGTTCACGACACAGTCACAATAGTCAGTGTCTCTGACCGTTGATTACGCTGAGCCCAAGCCTTACGCGACCTAGATGTTCAGGTCACTTGGTCATGGTTTTAATACCCTCAAGCCAGGTTTTACTTCGACCACCTTTAAGCTTCTTCCAATCATCCCCTGCCTCGGCAAACATCGCACTCCGTCCGAGTTAATCCATTTGGTGACACTCGTAGCACATGCTACAGCCCACCGTCATCTATGAAGATCGGATGATTACTCCAGTGCGCTACTGTAATTACTTAAAACTCTGCACATAACCTCAGCATTACTTGACGGGTGGCTCCACCAGACTCATCTAATATGTCGTAAACAGAGGAGTTTGAACACTGATAGTTTACGTAGAGATCAAGAGCTTGTATTATACAACAGCAAAGATGGAATTGATGCAGCAAACACAACTCTTCAAGGACAACCGAATGTCGCGCCGCTGTCAGAGGTATCTCAAGTTGATAGATGTCAACCGAGCTCTCTGTATGCGTGCCGACACTTCGTCAGAGATTTATCACCTGAATGTAACTGCCTAAGTAACAAAATTTATCTGCTCTTCGTATTGCTTCCCCAACTAGAATGGGATTCAGAGCTGAAGCAAGCCTGTCCTGTAGCAAAACTTTGCACCTGAAGGTGCCACGTGCGATTAGGCTGAGAACCGAAACTATCTCCTGGAAGTTTCATGCCAACCGCCTACCTTGAATCCAAACCAATTTCAAAAACGCAGTAGGTACAGGATACCATCGGATGTGTACCGCTATTCACTTTCTAATAACATTTAGTATGAAGCCTATCCAAAGTGAAAAAACGACACACCATAACAAAGGAATATATTGTTTGTGTGGTAGCGATTAAAAATTGACCGGCAAAAGAATGTGCAACGTGGATTCAAGAATGTTATCTATTCATCCATTGGTCCCAACGATCGACGGATTACATTGCTCAAAATGGCGGGGTAAAAGTCGAGTCCTCATACAGAGAGTAGATGCAGTTGAACATTTTAATGAAAACTGTCGTTGCCATACACTACTGATGCATAGTCGGTCAATTTAAATAAAAGTATAAACTAATGTTTTTATTCCCTTTTTTGTTGAATGAGTATACGGCTGTACAATTCAATTTCAGGAAGGGGACCGTGATCATGCAAAGGCTATCTGAATAGATACAGAAATGAGTGGTGCTGGCAGGAATCGAACTCAAGACCGAAAGTCCCTATTTTGATTACCTTCACCGCTTTGACTAAATTCGACTAGTAGCCAAACAATGAACCGAAATCAATGATCAAATGTTATTGTTATTCTAATCCTGCTGAATGGTAGCATCAGCAGTGCGCGGATCCATTTTGAAACGAGAGAAAGCATTTGGAATGAACTGTACTAAGGATTATGTCAGGATGTTCAAAACGGTGGTAGCGATTTTTATCAACCGTTAGAAATCTCATCGAATTATCTTTTCATTCTACACAGATATGTTTTACTATTTTCCTAACAACTAACAATATATTTGTCTACAGAAGGCATCAATTGAAATGCAGTGAAATCGTCCTGAATATAAATCTTAAACTACTCCTATACCGATTTTGCTTTAAACATTTACTAGATCAAAAACTTGTTCCAGTCTCATGGTACTTCAGTTATCCTGTAATGGTGTATCTGTTTCAGAGGGAACTTAAGCGGTTTACTATTCCTAGTTCAAGAGAATCCGTTACTGTCGTTTTAGAAACAGCACAGAGCAAACTTCGTTTACTGCACACACCCCGGTGATGAATGGCAGACGGGAAAAATCTCATAATCACAAAGACTTGTTGCTAATCCAAGCGCTGGAAGTTGGAATGAAGAACTACAACATCTCCACTAGGTCAGAGCCGGATGACTACTAAGCTGCCCCGAAGATCCATTTCTGAAAAGAGCATAAAGATTTTCTTACAGGAGAAGTATGCATAAACTGGTAAATTGTCGTGCCTCTCAAAACATAATCTATTTAATCAAATTCCCTCACTTACACAAGCCTCGCTTGCATGCATCAGCAGCTGCACCCCGCTGAAATACCTTTAACAGGCGGTTTAACTCAAGTTGGGGTACGTGGGGCTAAAAAACCCGGGGAAGATGTTATACAGTGTACGAAAACAAATACCCCTGAATGGACGGACAAGACCCAATGCCCACTTTAAAAATGGGGAGGAAATCTGTCTAACAGATTTTCGGGTTGCATTTATATCCATCAAGTAGAAAATGAGTTCTTCAGGAGGCATTGAAAAACCATGCATCAACGCAATATTGTCTTTCCATCTGTACATGGCTGTGCAAAGACCGGAGGTGCATCCTGAAAAAAAAATCAGGGGCACCTGGAGACGTTTTGCGCCATATTGCCATGAAACTTCATGGTTTACATGCAATCCGTTTAATGTCTTCAAGGAATTATCCGTAGGAAAGCAAAAGTAAATGGCATGCCATAAAGCTATGGTGCACACTCCCAAACATCTCTTGCTAATGGTTTACCACAAATTGATGGAGAAGCTACACTTGCAGTGTTAGACTTTCGAAAGTGTGGTAAGGGACTATTTATTTGGATAATTTGTGATACTTTAGTAACACCTGATCGAGATCATCAACCACTGGGCTAGACACGTTGTAGGTTGTATCATTTGATTGAAAATCAACAAGTCCGACTAGAAGAGTACGAAATAAAAATGTGCACAACTTTTATTGAAGGGAAGGCTTCAAATTACCAAATCGATGTTGCGTATGATAAACCATCAGGGATGGCTGAATCACGTCACACATTCAAACAATGACCTAGCAGCATGAAAGCGTGTAGGAATATAAACAGAGTCGAATAGGAATCCAGCCTGGCCTCTGTAGCGCAGCGACACGAGATCACAATTGGTACGGTTAACACTAACTGATTGCAATGGATGCAATGGAAAGTGTCGCCTACTGAACCCGAGACAGGATGTCTCCATAATAAACTGAGAGAAAAAGTTCCCATGGAACAAAAAAAGAACCTATATGTGTGTTTAAATGGAATCTTAGCGACCTGTTAAACGAAGTGTATTGGATTAGACATAGGCACAAGTGAACTACGTTTTCATGTGAGTAATGGAGGATTTGATTAAATTTCAAATGGAAATTCATCGTGTATATGGAAAATGAAGCGCACTGCTGATGAGACCCGAACAGGTC